TATAGTTGGTCCTATATCTAGCGTACCTCGAAAGTAGGGTGGTAGGCGTCTTCAGGTATAGTGAGCGGAAGGGCTCGGGTTAACAACACTATGGTCGGATCCGATACACAGCATAGATCAAGCAATCGACCCAAGGAATTTTTCACATGATTGACTTGAGACAGGGACAGGTGAAGCAAGCCGTCAACAAAGTCATGTCGTGACATGGGCACTAGGATACTAGACTCGTTTACCGAAGACCAAACAGTTCCTGGCAAGTTGAAGTCACCAAGAACTATCATACGATCTTTATCAGATAGCGAGGAAGAAACAGCGGTTAAAGCGGACAAGTGCTGCTCATAAATTGAAATATCCGAAGAAGGTGGGATATACGAGCAAGTAATGAATATAGCGAAAGCGGGAAGAATCAGTTTTACACACAGGAATTCCAGTTCCTGTTGAACTTGGACTGTGAAGTGTTCTGACGTGAAGTAAGAGTCCACTGCAATTAGAGCCCCTCCTGCACGTCGAGACGAACGGTCCTTTCTAAAAGTTGTGTACCGACCTGCCAAATCCTCGGAACTAAGAATGTCCGGCTTTAACCAGGTTTCAGTAAACACAATAACGTGGGAAGCAAATGCAACACTATCCCGGAAAAGAATGCTGAGCTTACTACGCAAGCCTCTTACATTCTGATAGGTTACTAAAAGAGAAGTTAGTTTTTTGGAAAGGTGGAAGCAAGACGGGAAGTTGAGGTAGTTGAGGTTGAGGTTGAGGGTGGCACACTGGAAAGATATGGATAAGGGATATGGGGGGCCTATTCTTCTTCTTAGCCTTAAACTCCTTCCCCAACAAATGCTCCGGCCAAAATTTGGCGGAGCAAATGGTGTCAAATTTAGTTGGGGAGATGCTTATCTTAAACGAGGCTATTTCCCTGGCATAAGAGAAGTTGAATTTCTCCACCTTTAACCCCACGGCTTTTATTTTGCTTTGAATAAAAGCAATTACATCATTAGATGTGAGGTCAGGGGCCAGCCGTGAGACAAAAACTTGTCGTTTTGGTGGGACTCCCACCAGTGGTTTCGTCACCACAGGTCTTGTACCTGTGGTGGCAATATCCGGAGGTCCGGAACGTCTATTTACTGGTGGGATCGGGATAGACGGGACAACTAGCGAACTTGCGGACACCACGGACACGGACGCTGCAGACGTACTTGGCTGCACATTCTCCGAAGCGATGAATTCGGCTACCGAATCTGCATCGCCAGCAGCTGTCGTTGCCCTTGGAGTGCCAAACGGGATCAACTGCTGCACACTTGGAGTGGTCGGAGTCAGTTTTTCGGCGGCGCACGGCTGAGTGACGGTTGGCACTTGCAGATCCCGCGGAGTGACCTTTTTGCGCCTCGGAGACTCATTCAGCAGTTTTAAACCGCTAAACTGAGCCTCCATGGCTAGGAGCCGATCGTATTGGATTTTGAAACCAACGGTCAGCTCCGTCTGCCTCATGAAAGATACCATGTCTTTCTCCACCGCACGGCATGCCTCGCAACTGTAATGCAAACCATTACGCTTTGAAATGGCATCACTCACAAGGCCAGAAAATCCAGCGCATTTTGCGTGCACTACGCTGTCGCAGAGCCAGCAGGGGATAATCGGCTGATCGTGGGTGATCTGCTTTTTGCATGATTTTTTGGCACATACAACAGAAAGCTCGATATTAAAAAATTTGAACCAAATTAGAATTAAAATCAAATAATATTTCAAAACAAATGGCTATCAAAACAGTGTGCCAGACAAACGCTAATAGGAGGAGAGGAGAACAGTTGCAGCAGCAGCTAATGAGAGAGAGAGAGAGCTACTGAACAGAAAGTTACGAGAGCGAGAGAGAAAGAATAGTTATTTAAGTTTAGGTGATAGGGAGAGAGTGATAACACAACAAAAGCTACCAGACGAGAGCGGACTGCAATGCAATGTAATGCGTACTCACTCACTGCAACAACACAAACACGACAAGCCGACGCCGAAAAATAAATAGTTAAATAATGTCTTAACACAAATCAAAAGGCATGCACTCGCGGAATAGAATAGATTGTTGGCTGGTTAGGAAGTTAATTAAAGTTTATTTAGGAAAACACCGGCTGTTTATTCAAAACAAAAGGAAAAAATGCGGAGCGCAAAACAAAAACGCGTCTGATCACTACGAAAGAGAACGAACGATCTGAAATATTGAATAGATTCCATTCAAATTTTAATGACGAGTGCTCAACGCACAGCATATCACGTTAAATAATTCTGTGCGCGATTGTTTTTATATGTCACAAACTACTGCTAAACAATCAAAAATTACTGATTATTTAAAATAAGAATAAAAAGAAAAACCACACATAGAAATTAATCTTGTTATATTATGAATTATGTATATATATCCGAGTTTTTATAAAAAAAAACATGTTATTGAATTAAATTTGTTACATTTTTTTTTTTATTAAATCTTTTTAAAAACCTATTACGAACATAGCAACCATAAAATAAAGAAAAAAAAAATTTTTTTTTTCTCCTTTCGGTTAGAGCGTCTGCCGGGTATAACGACGTAAAATCGTCGGTCCCTTGAGTGTCGTTATAACCGGACTCTACTGTATTTCAATTTGAGTGTCGTATTCAAGTGTCTCATTTTTTAAGAACGGAAATTTTAGTTATTTCAGTTAAATTTTTTTCTTTAATCTACTTAAGTGAATGTGTTTGTTTTTTTTTGTTTAATTTGTGCTAAACTGAATAGAGACTTGATGAAAATTCAAATTCACCGTTTTCTTTGGCTTGTGCCAGAAATATTAGTGCCTGAAGTGTACATTTTTAGTGTGTCGTATTCAAGTGTCGGGGAGTGTATATCAGAGCCGAGCCGTTCAAACTAACTATTCTTATACTTTATCACTATTTCATATAACCAATACACATAATATTAAAATATATCTTACATTACTGTTAACTGTTCTTATACTTTATCAGTTTAGCACGATCTCATATAATCAATAAACATAATATTAAATAACATATTACATATTAGGGGTCAAGCCGTCTGCCAACCCCACGACTCACATGCTTAAGCTGGTTATTTGCCAAACAAACAAAAAAACAAAAAAAAAGAAAAAAAAAAAATATATATATATATCATAAAAATTGCTAGAACCAATTGGGAGATTTTATACATTAAGTTTTATCTGTTTCCACTTTGCTTGAAATTCTTTTTCCTAATCTCACACCAACACTAGTCGTTTTATTTCGCTCCCTACCACCAGATCACGCACACTGAACGGTGTAGTGTGTTTGAGAGAGAGAGAGAGATAATGAGTAAGCGCGTGGCTAGACTATCGTGGCCGCTGTAATTTTATTTGTTCTTTTTGGTTGTAATAATTATCTGATCTGATCCAGGTTAACAGGTTTTTTAACAGGTTTTTCCAGCCGAAATAGTTGAGATCATGGACTTGGTTATTAAGATCATTAACAGCATTATTGCAAACCCACTCTACCACAGCCAATTTGAGGAATTTCTTGAAGAAATAGACAGCCAGTATTCCGACTTATTTTTGCACGGTAACGGGGTAACCGTAGTGGTAACGTCTTGAACTTTTTGCTTGGGTGAAACAAAATATTTCTTGATTCAACTTTATTGTGGTTTATTTCGATAATAAATGACTTATTTTTGTCAAAGACATGGAGAGCGCCAAATTACTTCACTTTCAAAATCTGAAGTAATATCGCGATCAGACCAATGACACAAGTAACTTTATCATTGATTTAAGCACAATGAAGAATGGCTTCGCTTAGAGTTTTGAGAAATTCTTTCATAATAATCCTCTCAACAAAACAAATTATATGAACATTGAGCGATTTCGAATTAATACTGGTACACTTTAAATTAAATTGGTAAAATTGTAAACCAAATACTTGTTATACTTACTTACCATTTCCATGAAAATGTCAACCGAGGCCAAAAAATGAAAAGACAATAAAAACACATTTCTTTCCCAATATTATTTTCTAAATTGATTGAAATTCAGCTAATTTAACCAATTGGCAGTCTGGTGTGATAAGCTGGAGAATCAAAGAGGGCCTAGCAGAGGCCACCAGACCGGTCGCAGGTTGCGGATAGCGAACGGCCTACCTCGGTAGGTATTTCAGCTGCGAATAAACGCAGGGAGAGTACCGAGAATATGCAGTCCCGGACAGCGAGCGGATGAACATCCACACTGACGATGCGCTTGTGGTGCCCGATATAAAAACTATCCCAGTCGTTCACGCAGAGCTGAGGGACTTGGCCGCTCCCTGTTCTAATGATGCTGATTTAAGGGATCTCTGCCCTTTCCCTTTCTCTGCATCTCATTGGACGAATATGGAAAAAATACAAGGAGCGAGGTGCAAAACAGGGAAAGGTTCACACTCAATCTCCAAAGACTTTAGACCAAAGTTTAAAGTCCTTCCTTTTCCAAACTTTTGAGAGACTTGTGGGGGTTACACCTGAGGACAACTATAACCTGAACGTCAAAGATAGAGTGAAGAAGGCAATGACAGCGCTCTAAAACGGGTATAACGTGGATCCACCACCACACACCAAAGACCAAACAGCAGTCAAAGACTGGGGTTTTCAGTGCGATTTTCCGGATATCTCCTATCTCCGGATTTAGCCCCGAGTGACTATTTCTTGTTTCCAAACCTGAAGAAATGGCTCGGCGGAAAGAGATTTAAATCAAACAATTAAGTCAATCATCTTACAAACAAATTCCCATTTTGAGGAACTCGACAAATCATATTTTTGGAAGGGATATAAAGATTGGAGAATCGGTGGACATATGTATAGGACTACGTTGAAAAGTAAAATGATTGCTTATCCAAAAACCAAAATCATCCAAAAGTTCATGGACTTATTGAACAGCTCACGTATGCACATATCTGCATTCTAGTTTACATATAATGTGGAATATAATACCGAAACTTTAGATGCGATGCAGTTGAGGATGTTTACTTACCGGTGACTAATAGTTCGCCTCTGGTTTTTCATACACAGCTGAAAGCTTTTACTTCGCTTTTGTGGAATTGGAGGTGCGCTTTTTTTCGCAGGTTGTTCTAAAATAATAATAAAAAATTAAAAAGATAAACAATAGCCGAATTGAAAGCAGAACTAAAAAAGTTCTGTTTGATAAAAGCTATCTTATATTTACCATTGAATAAAAATGGACACAAAGACTATACAAATTATAAGGCTTGCAGTTCTTTTTCTTCCTTTTCAATACCGCCCTTCTTAAACTGCAAACGCTCTCGTGTAATGGGAAGCAATTTTGAACCGAAATTCAACCAAAAGTTATACCACATCAAATCTGATCCCGTGGCTGCACTTGGTCTACTTTTACTTGAAAGCGCTTTTTGTACCTTCGCTTTCACAGAAAATTTAGATTTGGTCACGGTCTTATTCTTAATGATCTGTGTATGTAAAAAAAGAGAGATAGGGAGTAACAAAAAAATAAGTAATACAAATTTAAGATAATTTCCATTCAATACACCGACTAGGATATTCATAACTTCACCTTCGATCAACTGACAAATATTTCAGTACAACGGTATCTCAAACCAGATTTCATTAGAATATCTAGTGTTTACATGCGATACTAGATGAAAGGCACTGCCCATACAATTTACATAGGTCAGTTTGTTAAGTTTATTGGTGGCCAGAGTGATTTCCAAATTGACTTAATGAAGCGCTAAACATTTTATTTTAATTTATTTGATCTTAGTGGACGCTCTTTGTTGTGGATTTAAGTGAAAGTGTTGTCAAATGTATGACAGAGAACAGAGGGTATAAAGGTCTTTACCAGATGCTTGAAATGCAGTGAAAAATACATTTCCGAAACCATATAATATACATATGTTTATCGTTCATTTATTATTATGGAGACTGCCATAAGTAAAAATTAGAAAAAACTAATATTCTTTAGTTGCGCATGAAATCCGAAGTGTCCGAAAAATGAAAGCTCACGAGGATCTGAGGAAATTTGGAAAACCGCTAGTCAAAGAGACAAATTTTTTGGGGCACGCCCAAATCAGATTGGACGTTGACATGCAATGACTGCATCTTACGTCGATGGCTATGAAACCTGGGTCAGTGGTCATGCTTCGGGAGCTTTCAGACACGTTGAATTCTCATATGTGCTCGCTCCACGGCTTGGGCACCACTGAGCAGATCGCAGGATGCATCGTCGTGCAGGAGCTTCTCCGAAAACTGGATCTAGCGAACCAAGAGAAGTGGGAGGAGCGATTCAACGAACCCGCATTCGCAAACTTAATTCTGGGAATCTATTGCCTCGTTCTTGGAGCAGCGATGTAGATCATTGGACACAATGGACTTTTCTTTGGCAAGCTATGCGTCGAGCAGTCAAGTGGGCAGACGTAGAAAGCATAATAATTCTAGGTGCACATTGGTTACAACGAACCAAACCGTAGCACGCTGCGCGCTGTGCAACGATGGTGCTCACAAGGTTTCGGCTCCCAGTTGCATCTAATAACTTCATGTTTCGCGAATCAGCTTCAGCTTCGAAATATTAAATCATCGACTGCAGTCTCGGGAATAGGCGACTCGTCACGGATAGATTTTCGGTCAATGTTAGCCTGCACTCTATCTCATCGGATTACTCAACTCTCATCACTGCCATTGTAGCCTCTAGCATAACCGATCGACAGCCAAGCTTTGGAATTGACACTCAAAACTGGAACATTCCATCGAACAAACCACTAGCAGATCCGGAGTTTCATAAGCCGCAGCGCGTCGATTTGCTAATTGGAGCAAGTCTGTTTTTCGAATTCCTGTGTGTTGGTCAGGTCAAGCTACTGCCAGGATTGCCTTCAATTCATAAAACGCGCTTGTGATGGGTCGTGTCTGGAGGTTGTTCCCGTTTAAAAGGTTCATCTTTGATGGTCTCTCGGGCTCGGGCCGTAGCTGCTTCGGATAATAGTCCAGAGGACCGGCTTGAGGTGCTTCTTCGGACGTTTTGGGAGACAGAAAATTGCATCGAACCAATAGTAAAGACTACCAAAGAAGAGCTAGATTGTGAAGCACACTTTGTCCACCATTTCCGTCTATTACATAAAGGCAATTATTGTGTTCGTCTGCCAGCAAAATATAATTTGGATCTCCTTGGAGAATCTTACAATCAAGCGGTTCGTAGATTAGAGGTCAGTTTAGATTGAGTTCCGGAAGAGGAAACATTTTTAAAGTTCGACGATGTCAGCCATGAGACTTAAACTTTAGGACTTGGCCCTACAATCTTCTTTGAATTCCCGCAGGCGCTCTGTTTTGTCATCCATTCCGCGATTCTACGATCCTCTCGGTCTAGTTGGTTCCGTAATTACTAAATCCAAAATCTTTCTCCAGCGTTTGTGCCGAAAGAAGTTGTCCTGGGATGAAAGCCTTCCAGTCGCACTGAACACCGAGTGGCAGGAAATATTCACCAGTTTTGGTCAGATTCGTCGGTTTAAATTTCCTAGGCTTGCACTCCTTCCATACGCTACGCTGGAAATTCACGGATTTTGCGATGCCAGCATCAAGGCTTATGGTGCATGCATTTATGTCGTGTCCAAGGGTCAGCATTCCAGCAGTCACTTTATGCCAAATCTCGTGTGGCTCTTTTGAAGACACTTACGGTACCAAAGTTGGAGCTATGTGGAGCAGAGTTGCTGGCTATGCTGAGATAGCTGGAATGAATGTCTTCAAGGGAAGGTGTTACTGTTGGTGTGATTCTGCTGGATTCGGGACGAGCCGTCAAGATTTAATATATTTGTTGCAAATAGAGTGGCAACAATTCAGGAAATGACCGAAAAAATGGAATGGCGTTATGTCCCCACAGCTTTAAACCCAGCCGACATTCTGCCTCGAGGCGCTCATCCGACTGAGCTGAATGAGTCAGCTCTTTGGGCTCACGGTTCTCCATTTCTTTGCGGCTCCTCAGATGACTGGCTACCCATCTTGCTACCTGATAAGCCATATACCCTGATGTTAAAATACAAAAATTAGCATGATAAAAAAAAATCTGCTTATATATTGCCTCTAAGGCGGAAAAAAAGGGTATTCTAAAAATTGTTCGCTATAAATTAACCACATATAATTAAGAACATTTTTTTGTTGCGTTGGAGAACAAAGTCTTCCGGTTTAGCTAGTATTGAATATATGTAGTTACATTGGATAGTTTGTTGCGATAACTGAGTGATATCTATGCTTGAGGAAGAAGAAAATATGATCAATAAAAAGACGAGCAAGACGCAAGATTCATGTGAAGAATTGATAAAGAAAACATATCAAATAATACCGCAAATGAGTAACAGCAATCAAAACCCCTCCTCCACGTCAAGAAGAACGGATATTTCTAAACGTTGTGTACCTACCTACCAAAACTTCGGAGCTAAGGATGTCCGACCTTAACCAAATCTCGGTAAATACAATAACGTGGGATGAAAATTTGGGACTCTCCAGGAAGAGAGTGCAAAGTTTACTGCGCAAGCCTATAGTATTCTAATAAGTTACTAATAAGGGAAGAAGTTATTTTTTTGTACGGGTGGTAGTAGAAGGGAATAGGATGTACTGTACTCTTTCAAAACCAAGTGCTCCCGCTAAAATTTGACAGAGTAAATGGTTTCGAATTGAGTCGTGATGCGATGATCTTAAAGGACTCTACTTCCTGGCATAAGAGAAATTAAACTTCTCCCCTTTTAGCCGCCATCTTTTATTTCACTTTGTATGAAAGCAGGTACATCATTAAATGGGCAAGTTCTGGGGAAAAAACTTGCCGCTTTGGTGGGAACCCGGACAGGTGTTTTGGCACATGGCACTTGTGATTGCAATATCCGGTGGTCCGGGACCTCTGTTTACTGGACGTATCGAATTGGACGGGATAGTTAGTGAATTTGCGGACTCAGCGGACATGGGTGCTAGAGACATTTCTGATTGCACGCTTTCCGAGGTACTAAGTTCGGCTACCGAATCTGCATCACCAGTGGCTTCCGTTGCACTTGGTGTCGCAAACGATATCAGCTTCTGCACTGAAGGAGTGGTTGCAGCTATTTTTACAGATGCCGCAGGCCAGAAGGTAGTTGGCACCTGCACTTCCCGCGGAGTAAGCATCTTGCACATCGGAGACTCAGCCAGCAGCAGTAGGCCAAAAGCTGAACATATTGCTTTATAAAACCCACGATTAGCTCTTTCTACGTCTAATGAACGATCGAACGTCGAAGCGCGGTATTCCTTGCAACTATAATGTAGACCATTACCTTCGGAAATGGCATACTCCACTCGGCCCAAGGAAAGACCATATAAATAGTAAGATGAGTAACGCCCATATATTTCAATGGTTATATGCAGCGATACCGGTTCTGATTTACTTTTGAAAACACATAAATTGATGATCCTGTTTTCACAAAACTCCAAATTTGTCCGTTTTTAAAACGGAAACATTTTCCGTGCCGAAGTAAAAAAACAGTTTTTTATACAACAAAACGAATCTTAATTGCAAAAGAAAACGCAGCTACTCCCGCGACTCTACATTTATACCCGATATTCAGATCTGGGCGCTCGTAAAGACGGACTGAAGACTTGGCTCTTGATGCTGATCAAGAATAAATGTATTTTATGGCATCGGAAAATTCCTTAATTAAAGTTTTAAAAAATATTGATAATTTAAAACAAATAGCTGTCAGACAGTATGCCAGACAAACGCTTAAAGCGGAATTAGTTAAAACTGAGAGGAGAGGGGTTCCAGCAAAAGCCAGCGCTACTGCACAGAAAGTTTCGGAAAAGATTCAGAAAGTTACTAAAGCAAAAGCTACGAGATGAGAGGCTAAATGCAATATGAGGGCGTACTTATGAAAAACAACGAAACAAATTGCAATGATGCAATTGAAAGAATTGTAATGGACAACGAAACTCAAGTTTTTCTTTGGGCTCGAATTTCCCGGACATTATTTTTCTAATACGTTTAAAGGTAGGACTTATGCCGAATCGTGGTAATATTTTTGACGTTAAAGACTGTTTGAAAATCAATTATTAAGAACCATTGTTCAAACATGAACATATTATCGTCGAA